GGGGGGGGAGGAGGATAAAGCAAAAAGTCAATAATTGATCTGGAGTCTTTAAAACATAAGGTTTCTCAGTAATTGCAGTCCATTGGCATGCCAGTAGTCGTGGTTTTATGGAAAATAGGTTTTCATTGCAAAATAAGAACTTGTTGGTTAAATTCTAGATGAAATTGGATTTTTGGTCGAGGTGTCGAGATGAAAACAGCCACCTAAGTCAAAGTTTGCAGTGCTGTAGCAGCTGTGTATTCAGAGCTCTGCTACTTATTGGAATTGTAACTCTTGCATTCATTCTTCTCCATGGTGCACCAGGGCAGAGGCATCGAGCTATTTGCCTGTGTGGGTCAGCACATGGAGATTCTTACTGCCTGCCTGCATTTTAAGCCAGAAAGATGCAATTCATTTTGCATCAGGAAACTTTATCACCTGCTATTCACATCCCTAATTCTTCACTGGATCTAGCTTTAAAGGTACCCAAACTAATTGAATTGTTCCTTGAGCCCCTTGTTTTTCTTGATGATGTACAAAAGCTGTGCTTCTGCACGTACCTGTTAAGTTAGTATCTTGAGCCATTTTCCCCAAATCTGGTTGATAGGTTTGAGAGAGAAGAGAGTTTGCTGCAGCTTTACAATTGCCATTTTACTGGGGAATGCCTACAAGGCTTTGCCTAATATTCCACTGAAATCCTACAGCTTCGCTTTGTTTTCTCTTTCAAAACTGGGTTCATTTATTACAGCCAAACAGAAGCTAAACTTTATAAATAGAAGTAATAATGTAGAAGCCCCAAATTTTCATGTTATTCTTCAAACCTAGGACTCCGTCACTGAGGGGGAGAATGCAGCTCAATCTTGCATCTCTTCCCAGCTCTCCACCAAGAGCATGATTTGAGCCATCTAGGCTGGCCTCTCTACCAGGTAATTGGTGGCTATTACTGGCTCATTTCACTTTAATGACTTTAGTTTCCTAGGCTATATATGAACCAGCAAACTGGCAAACCAGTTTAGAAACAATAGGTTAGCCACCAGTGCCCTGTGCAGTCCAGTCTCATCGTAGGAATTTGTACTGCACAGAAAGATGCAAATACTGTATTGCCAAAGCTGAAGCTTTTTGCCAGCTGAAAATAGAGGCAGTGGCTGTACATCTACTTGACCTGCCTGTATATCTGCTCTCTTCTCCTCTTGGTGCCCCTGAATGTCCTGCAAAATATTTTAAAAATAACAGGTCTGCTGGATCTCCAGAAAACAGCTCTTCTGGTTTTTTTTATTCTTTCTCATTCTTACATTTAGGTAAAGAAGAAATCACTCTTCATGGGACTTTTTCTGGAGAAGTTCTCTTTTGAAAGAAGACTAGCTACTCCCACACACATGTGAGGCAACTAAACTGCTACATATAAACAAGGCTTTATTACACAAACATGAATGTTACAAATGGTGGATGTATAAGCTGTAATGTAGCTGTTGCTTTCAATAGTTAAAGCCTTATTTAGACGTAGTCATTCTTTAGTCTTTTTCCTGTAAGATCTTAGCCCCTGAAAAAAACAGTGGTTTGCTTTAATTGTATTTTAATAGCAGCCATTATGGTTTATTTTTATTTCATTATGTAACTGTATTTATCTTATAACAACACATACATTTTTACTAAGGAGCTGTGTGAGAAGTCCTGAATTAATAAAACTACTTTCCTCTTTTAGGGTGGATTCCTTTTGTATTTTTATAAGGTAAGTTACAACTATTCTTTTTTGCAGCTAACCAGGAAATATGTCATCTGTATATCAGTACATACTTTGCTACTTCTAGGTCCTAAGGGGCTGTATTTTCATTAGAAGCAGTCTTGTTGAGGGATACGGTATCCAGATCTGGCTAAGAACCGTATTTTACTTCTCAGAGGTAGATAGATGGTACAGTATAGATGCCTTGCTTTCAAGGGGACAAGTGAAATGATTGTGTCACACTAAAATGTGTAGAGCATAAGGACAGTAAATTTCTCTTCCCCAAAGGGAATACAGGAAAATGTCTGGAGATAGATCTGTCTGACCTGTTAGGCAACAGAACCTGGAGACAATATCTAATATCAGAAGCAGCTATCTTTTCTGCTAGTGTAAAGAGGGGCTGCTGAGGTTCACCTCCATTTATCACCTGGTTTGTTACATGATAGAGATTTGGGGCTGGAAACTATGGACAAGGGAGCAAGGAATAAAGATCAGTATTCTGGGAGCACTGCCTGTTTGCACGGCTTCAGCCTTTTCGTTTGCTGCAGCCTTGCAGAGTCTATGCCATTTATCTGTGGTCAGGTTGTACAGTCCCTAGGAGCTCTCCCCTTCCCTCTGATCCCAGCTAGTATCTCCACTGGATCCAGACATCCTTCTGCTGAACTTGTTGTGGGTAAAGTCAAAACTAACTTCCCATCTTTCCGTGTTCTGCTAAGATATAGGTTATAATTTAAATAACCTAATGTAAACAGGTATTTTAAAAATTGAAAATTGCTGTCACTTGGCAGCAATTGCTTCAAAAATTATGCGTTAAATCCTCCTTTGGTCACTAAGTGCTCCATGAAACAATATATAATATAAAAAAATATATAGTATATTATGGTATAATATGTATATATATATATATATATGGTTTATCAAATAAGGCAGCCCTACATTTCACATGTAACTTGTGCTTAGGCAAAGTATTTTCTCACAAAACAGTTCTATTATTCTTTAAGAAAATACTTTAGTTTTAAAAATAAGACTGTCTTGAAGTCAATGAGAACCAGCTTATTTCAACAGTGTAACAAGACTTCTTGCTAATTTCTCTGCATTCAGTCAAACTTGCAACAAGGAGTAAAAATGCCAGGTGGAATCCAGCATCCTTTCGTTACTTTTCCAGAGAACAGGATAGGAAATTAAAATAAGAATTTCTGCCTTATTGTAACAAATAGCACGATCATAAGAATTTAATTATTCATCTCTCAAAAGGACTTTGTAGATTGTAAGGTTCACTTACAGAGTTTGGAAAAGACAACCCAGCAGGGGTCATGCAAGTCCCTGTCTGCTGTAATCATAATTTCCAGTGACACAGAGCTATGGGACTTAATAACAAGGAATAATATTTAACTGCTGGTATCAACACAGTGGTATATCTATTATGTTTACGACATAGACATAAAATATAACTAATCCTGACCTGCTAAGGGGACATTTAGTAGATGAACTGCATTGATGTGGCTGTAGCATTATCCCATATGCATATGTTCCCCTTAAAGCCTGATCAGTTTATATGTTCTTGTTTCCATTGCTAAGTATGCAAGGAAAAATGTATTCTGTTACTACTTCCACTCGTCTTTAATGAGTTATTAAGGAAGATTCCATTCTGTAATTAGCTGGGGGAAATGAACTCCAGAACCCTCAAATTAAACACACTAAATCTTTTCCAAAAATTATGTAGAGTATAAATATTTTTTATTCTCACTCTAGCTTAGTCCCTTCCTTTTATTGACTGGATAATTTGTACTAGTTCCATCCCAGCCTTCAAATTCTTCACATTTCCTGTATTATGTAGCACAGTCTGGCCCCACATGAGCTTTGTGCTTAGCATACATTGGCGTGAGGAGGTCCTCAAGAACTGAAGGTTGGTATGGCCATATGGTCTATTTTGCCGTAAAAAATGGCAGAAATAGTAAAACCACAAATGAAAAAAAAAAAAAAACCAAAAACCACAAAAAAACCCACCAGTAGGCAGGAAAATAAGGCATATACACAAAAAAAGGTGAATAGGGTCGAAATCAAAAGAAAAGAGAGAAGTGAGATCATTCACCAGTGCTGAAGTACCAGAGTGGTAGAGGGAGCCAAGGGGCCGTGTCCGTGCTGCCACTGCCCAATGTGGCAGCACTGGTGTGTGAGCTGACGCTGCTGCCCACGGGCGTGTTTGCACAGCTGGGCAGCCCCTGCAGCAGCCTGATGCCACATGGCTGCGGGCAAAGAGCAAAGGACAGTCACAACCAAAGGGGAGTTACCACAAAAAGTCAGCATGTGGGTGTTCAAGCATATCCTTTTTGGCAGCTGCAGGAGACACACTGTGTCCTGAGGGATGTTTGTGGCCTTGAAGCTACTTTGTGGCTCAAAGGCCACCCTTAAAAGGCATTATTGTGATAAGTTCAACACCACCTTTATGCGATTTGCTTCCCGGTCCAAAGGGGTACTATCAGTAGCCAATGTA